TAACAGAGATCTTAAACATACGGTACAGCACCATATTATAACGAAAGGTCCACCGACTAAACCAAGACCACGAAGGCTAGACCCGAAAAGGTTGAATGTCGCGAAACGAGAGTTCGAAAAGTTGACGAAGCTTGGTATCATAAGACCTTCTAATAGTCCCTGGGCGTCCCCATTGCATATGGTTTCGAAGAAGAATGGGGAAATCAGGCCATGCGGAGACTATAGAGCCCTTAACAAGCAAACGATAGCAGACAGATATCCGATACCACATATCCACGACATTACTACCAATATGGAAGGTGCCACGATATTTTCGAAAATCGATCTCGTTCGAGCTTATTACCATATTCCCGTAGCGGCAGAAGATATATCTAAAACGGCTATAACTACTCCATTTGGGTTATTCGAGTTTTTGCGAATGCCCTTCGGATTAACTAATGCAGCCCAAACCTTCCAGAGATTCATCGATCAAGTCGTCAGAGGTTTGACAGGAGTTCACGCATATATCGATGATATACTAGTAGCAAGCTCTTCCAGGGAAGAACATCTACAACATTTACGACAGTTGTTTACGAAACTAAGAGAACATGGCATTTCTATAAACACTGAGAAGTGTGAATTCGGAAAAGAGTCTTTACAGTTTTTAGGTCACAATATAACTTCTCAAGGCATCACACCATTAGCAACAGAAGTCGACGCCATTAGGAATTATCCTCTACCCGACTCATGGAAAAAGTTACGCAGATTTCTCGGGTTAATAAATTATTACAGACGATTTATCCCGAATTGTGCGTCAATATTGCAACCATTAACAGATGCGTTATGCGGACACGCACGGACATTCCAATTATCACCAGACGCGATTCAAGCATTCGAGCACGGTAAAAAAGCACTAAATAAAGAAGTGACACTAACTAGACGAAAGAGCGAAACACCGTTAGCTATCATGACAGATGCATCAGACGTAGCGGTAGGAGCCGTTTTACAACAATTAGTAAATGGCATATGGGAACCGCTCTCATTTTTTTCGAAAAGACTGAATCCGACACAAACAAGATATAGTACTTTCGGAAGAGAACTCTTAGCAATCTACTTAGCAATAAAACACTTCCGTCATATGGTCGAAGGCATAAATTTTACCGTCTATACAGACCACAAACCGCTAACGAAAGCATTAAGCGCAAAGCAAGACAATTATTCCCCGAGAGAGATCCGACAACTGGAGTTCATTTCACAGTTCACGTCCGACATACAGTACGTTAAAGGACAAGAAAACGATGTAGCCGACGCATTGTCAAGAGCAACGATAAGCACACTTATGGTAAGCGGAATTGATTATAACAGTCTGGCAAAGTTGCAGGAGAGAGACATCGAGCTAAATAAACTCAGATCCGGTGGTTCAACATCATTAGTACTCGAAGAGGTGCGGTTTGGTAACACGAAAGTGATTTGCGATACATCAACAGGCCGACCGCGACCATTTATCCCGAAAACGTTGCGACACAAAATATTCGAAAGCATGCACAACATGTCGCACCCAGGAATAAAAGCCACGATAAAGCTGATTAGTGAACGATTCGTATGGACAAACATGAATCACGATGTACGTAATTGGACACAAGCATGCCTGAAGTGCCAAAAAGTTAAGGTACATCGTCATACTAGCTCTGCAGTAGGTCCGTTTTCGCACCCAGACACTAGATTTGAACATATACACATCGATATTGTAGGACCACTGCCCGTTTCAAATGGATACAACTATATCTTTACATGCATCGATAGGTTTACACGATGGCCGGTAGCAGTACCGATAAAAGACACCTCAGCTGAAACGGTAGCTAAAACCCTAGTTGAAAATTGGATTTCTTACTACGGTGTACCAACGATTATCACAACTGATAGAGGAGCACAATTCGAAAGTCGACTCTTTCAGCAGCTCACAGAACTCCTCGGTATTAAACGAATCCGAACGACGTCGTACCATCCAATGGCAAACGGAATGGTCGAACGCCTACATAGGCAATTAAAAGCGTCCCTTACAGCCGTCATCGTTAACAACGATTGGTCTAATAAACTTCCCCTAGTAATGTTAGCTCTAAGAGCAACAATTAAACGAGACATGGGATGTTGTCCAGCCGAGTTAGTTTACGGAACTACTCTACGGTTACCCGGAGAATTTTTCACTTCAAGTAAAAATGTCCCGACTGATGTAACCGGCTATGTGCAACGCCTGAGAAAGCACATGAGCGATTTAAAAATAACACCTCCCAGACCACAACAACGACGAGTATTCATACCACAGGAACTACATAACAGCACTCACGTATTCATCAGAAGAGATAAAATACAACCACCTCTTCAACCGAGTTACGGCGGCCCATTTAAAGTGATAGGGAGGACAAATAAAACGGTTACCATAGAAAAAGCTGGGAAGACAGATGTAATTAGCATCGATCGAGTAAAGCCAGCTTTCATCGATAGCGATAATCAATCAACAAGTACGGAATCATCTAAGATGGTCACACCAGCGAAACACAAGTCGCAAGAGTCAACGACGTTAACGCAACAAAAAGACAAGACTCCGATAACAAGATCCGGCCGCAGAGTAAGATGGCCCCAACGACATGTCGCTACGATTTTTTATTAATGATCTACTATTTTAAATATTAATTATAACTTCTACCTCACTGTATACACATGCATTATTAAGCTTGCGTTATACGCTATAAAACTCAACGTATCTTATGTACCCTTACACTTATGCGTATAATTTTTGCTTAAAACGTAAAGGCAATACCGCATTCCTTCTATTTCTTGCTATTATTTTATGTAACCTCACGGACGAGCACAACTCAAATGTACAGCACACACTAACTTCATCTTAATTTTGTATAAGCTATTTTTTTTTTCAAACAATTGAAACTACCCTATTCAGTCTACTATTTTTTTTGTGCAAACACAGACACTTTTCCATATATCTTTGTTTGCAGGGGGGACCTATTATAGCAACTCACGCGCAAATGGGTTTATTCTCATTTAACTCAGTTAAGCCCTTTAGCTAACTTATTTAGCGGACAAAGCCATCCGCACTAGAACAATTTATTGTACCCTTATTATTATTTTGTGCTTGTATGAAATATGCATGCTTGAATATTGCTTACGGCCTACGCATTTATTCACTCCGCTAGTCTTACTACTAACCGCTTGTTTGATTCGATTACTCATTCATTTCACATGGTATATATATGTTCATGTTATTCATATGGCCGACTCTGCTTTCTCGCTCGTTTGATTGTACTCGATTACTTATATTCGCTCAGTCTCTTGCTTGCCTGTTTGCTGTTCGGCACAACTCGTAATGCTCGTTAATGCATCGGTAATTTTGGATATATGTGTGTGGTCTCGCAATAAACGTAATCAACACTTCGTATTTGCCTTCTGATTAATATACCGTTGGGAAGTTATATAGAACGGTTAGCAAGACGAACTGTATACGAAGTTAAGGATTATATCGGATACCGACCACCACATGTTCACCTTTCATCAAATGGATTACGTAGAAAAAGAAAATTTTCTATACTCATTTCACCTTAAGTAATGAAGATATAAACCCAATCCAGTCAGTCAGTAACAACGTAGAACTTCGTACATACGTACATCAGTTCGAGTTGCCACACCACATTAGCTTAGAGATACAGTGGTCGATTCAAACCCCGTAGTGGTAGAGGTAATAAGAGTGTTGTGGATGCGCAGGAATAGACCAATAATTATGATGTTAAGTCCAATGGTGTCCTTGGACTTTAAATGGACATTTTCTATTGGTCGATATCTGTTCACTTGTGAATATTGTACAAAATGTTGTTTTCTATTTTTATGGTACGATGTGGTTTGTTTGCTTGGTATATAAATAGAGTATGTTTGAAATACAATGATTCATATCTCAGAGGTTGTGACTTGTCTTCTGGACTCAACTGGCTGGGCTGGACAGGGAAGCAGGACCAATGGAGACTCTAGGCCGTCCGTACGTGTTTGCGTGTCATTGTAATCGATCGATAACACAGGGTAGAAATTGACATCAATTTAAAGTCATAACAAAGAGTATAAGCAGTAATCGGGAAGATTAATGTTTGGAGATGTTACTTAAAGAGTATAATACAGTGAAATAAATTTGAGAGGAGAAAAAAAAGAGACAAGGAGGAATAAGGAACCCAATACAATAAATGAGCACCAAAAGTATGTTTAAACAAATTCATGTTTACTATGCATTATAATAATAAGTCAGTTGAAGATTCTCGTTAGTTATCAATATCTAACAGAATCTAACTCTTACATTGAGAAATTAATTTGATCATATTCGAAGTACTTATTAATTTGCTAAATATGGTTTTCACACACGCACACACTATCTGGGAAATCTCCATCTCAAAATGCACGCACATGGCCACACGTATACAGCCACTGACGGGGAAGTCCTAATCACTGACTTATTGTAAAGAGGGTGTTGTTTACGAAATTGAGAGAACGAAAAGAGTATGTCCGACGCTTTAACCAGATCGGTAAACACGGAGGATCCACCTAGGGGAATCGGAAAACACTGACTACAAACCAATACTGCACATGGACTACAGGATTCTGAGGGAACAAATGGAATATCAGCCTATTGTTGGTTACCGGCTACCATTGCTCCACTGCTTTGCGGATTAGACCTGTAAGTCGAAGGCTCAGGATGTTGTCCACTAAGAAAACTGCCTGTTTCGGTCTGGGCAGTTTCCCAGCCCGCAAACATATTAAGTGACTTGTGTGACACATATGTATTCGGTACCCGTTTGTACAAATATTGATGTGTTCAAACAAATAAATAAATAAGTCACTAGATCTCATAATCTATACTCACTTAGGTCTAGTCAATATTAACTATCTATATAGACAAGTAAAAACTTTCCAACGTTTAATTATAAATGTAAATTAATTTTAAAAAAAACGATGATTGTTGAACTCACCCGGTGCATATTTTACTCCCCACCAAATGGATGGTGGCATAGTTGCATGATGAAATACATGTAGAAATGTGACTTGATCAACTTTACCTCGCCATAAGAAAAAAACAGTATCTAATAATTCTACAAGTTTAGAAACATAGAAAAAATATCCAACCCATACAAGTATATCAGTTCTTTTATCATTAGGATCTGGTAGTTCTGCACAACCTAATCCATAACCCAAATTATATACAGCCCACATAGTGCTGAATGAGATAACAGCAGAATAGATAACCATTATCACATTATATAGAATCATAAGTTGTTTAATCATGTTATTCGATGATGTTTTAGTATTTTTCATCATAGAATTAAACTCCTCTTTGTTTTTAAGTTGATTTTTATGTCTTTTCAAACATTCAGCTTTCCATGCATATACTCCAATAACATAAGTTAATGTAATTAAAGCTGTAGGAGTCCATGAAGACATTAAAGGAAATGTATCCAATCTAGGATCTGGTTTCGGTGGTAACAATCCTTTTGATAACCATTCAAAGATACTCATCTTAAAATAATATTAATGAACTAATTTGAAACCTCAGAAAATCTATGATGACCAAGTGTTAAATATTCATTTTTGTCTAAATTTAATTGGATAATGATTTCTTAAAATAAATTAATATTTGATTGGTCAATTTTGAATGACTCATAAATGAATAACCAATCAAATTCAAGTGTATGTTATCTGTGCAAAATTAGTAAAGAAATCGATAAAGGTTAGTAAATTAATGTAAGCGTGGTAATATTTTGGTGGCTAGCAGTGTTGGTGGGCGGTCTATGCTCCTCCATGAGGGTTAACAGGCGTAAATAAGTAAGTCAGTAAGCAAGTAAGCAAGTAATGTTATATCTTCTAAAATTTTACTCAATTTTATCTTACTGTTAAAGTAAACATACTAGTCTAATGTAAAACACTTGTTAATATGAGGTTGTAGAAATTATTATGTTTTTGATTGAGATCATGAACCGATTGATATTAGACCACCATGGAAAACCTGGAGGCACTGGACGGCCATTTCGTCCTCGTATGAGACTCCTCAGCAGTGCGCATCAAGTCTCGTGCCAGGCGCCTAAACAACTAGACGAACTAGACTGATAGGTTCTGGGTTCGAATCTCGCGGGGTGCGGGATCGTGAATGCGCACTGTTGAGGAGTCCCATACGAAGACGAAACGGCCGTCCAGTTCTTCCAGGTTTTCCATGGTGGTTTAACTCCAACTGACTCATGACTTTAATTAGTGAAATTTCTAAGATCTCCACAAAACCCCTTCTGATCTTTTTTTGTTTAAAATTTCTTTGGGAAATGATATGCATTGGATCGTCTTATATTGATTTGACTTGTACACTACTTATCAAATGGTTGTATCCATAGTGTAATATCTCAGTTAATCATAAAGTCGATACATATATTTATCTTGAGGTTGTACATTTCGTCCTAACTTATAAACTCTTCCTGTTTCTTGCTCATAGTAACTAATGTTACACTCAACCCATTAATCATTACCAGAGTTTTATCAATGAGATTAGTGGGTTATAAATAACTGTCACGTTCACATGTTCATCAGATATACCAATATCATCGAGTTGATTAAAAGTTATATTAATGGATTACTATTTTGTCATCAACTATTTTTAAAGGTTTTCGTAAAAAACTAACAAGGATAAATGGGATTTCAAAAATCTGTTATGCAAAGTTTAGACGCTGAGCTGCAGTAATCCTAGCACTTCACCTTTCAAGACTATTTCAAAATCCAAGGATGATAAATGTTGATTAAAGCAAATATATCTGATTGTTTAATTACAATCACTTGACACCAAAGTCGTCTTTCTATTATTGGAACGTGACTGTCCACCAACTTACAACTTAGTTCTAAGTGTCTAGTACATCACTTGTTGAGATGGTGAAGATAATATCGTTGGGAAGAAGGATGAAATCTCCACGACCAAACCACCGATCTCAGAGAAGAAAACTCCATCAAGATCACTTGTTCGTGAGAAAAATGATGATTGTTATATGATAATCAAAAGAATTATGGTTTGTGGAACATTGTCGTTAAGCATATTTCATTTCAATCGGTTATTACCATTAGTTACATAGTTCATTGTTATATTTTGAGAAGGATATTGTGAATCGGAAAATAGTGTTAGTCACAATATTTTTCAGTCGTTCGATGACTAACAGACAGGACATTGGTTATTCTCCTATATTCATAAATCGATGGAAAGTTGATAATATATTGAGAGCTACTACATCTTTGGCACGAAAATATTACCATTCAGTGATGTGTCAAATAGCCTTTTTTACATAAGCTTTAGTCAGTTATTAACCTAAGTCTGACAAACTTCTGTGATAAAACAAGCTTGAAAATAATGAACAACATCAACAAACCTATGATAAAGAGACATACCTGGGTCCACTCGGGCGCAAATACAAGTCAAATGATAGACCTCACAACAACTGAATTTAAGTCAAACGTCGTATGTGACATACATGCTTGTCAATCCACTGAAGCTAATTCAGACAACAGTGATTAGGTCAGATAAAACCTTAATTAATAGATATCGTAAACTTAAGACTAGTCGCCAAACAGCAAAAACACCTACTAATCCATCAACTAAAACCCACACAGTCAAGCTAGTACAACTTCTAGATAAAATTAGGAATCTACAACATATAGAGAATGTCCTCATCCAAGCTGCAAATGGAACTACTTCTTCAATTAAGTCAGTCTCTAAACTCTAGCAAGAGATAGTAGATAACCGGTTGAAAGCTGGAATATAACGAAAAAGGAATGGTTAAACAAGGCAGCCGTTGAGAGTGAGCTAAACCACGAAAAAGCCTGCAAGAATGTTTACAAAAAGACAAGAGAAGCGGAAAAAACCTATATTCTTGAAAAAATGGACGAACTAAACACTCTCTTTCAAGACATGAAAAACATCAATCATATAAGCTACTCAAATAAATACTTACCACCATACGGAACCAGTCATATAACAGTTACAGAACGAAGTAGTACTTTTACAAGACTATCAAATACTGCTCAACCGCCAAATATCTACCCCTATCGAAAAACCCGGTCAACCAAGGCAAACAGCTGAACTCCCACTAACCTTGAGAGAACTAGAGCATTCCATACACCAAATCAAAAACCATAAATCCCCAGGTTATAATGGCATAACTACAGAAATGATTAAGCTAGATTGAATAAAGCTAGAACAATGCTACTACAACTAATTAATAATGTATGGCAAAACCCAAATGAAATTGCAGCCCTGCAGGCATCATCAGCACCTATAAAATCAAAGGACTACTCAGCGTCCCCAATAAATATCAAGGTATATTCCTACTTGACACGAAAAGAAAAATATTTACTGGAATTTCTGTAAGCAGTGGACATCAACTCTGAGATGCAGGCACATCCAGCTGACGAGTCCCAAATAGGACAAACGCGCGTCCTCGATTCCACTGCTAGCCACTATCTATCATTGCTTACAAAAAGCTTGTGAATTAAGGCAATATCGAAGCATACGCACAGTATGCACATATTCCAATAACAGACTGATTAATTGCAGTCTTAAACCTCAATGGGAAGATACAAGCCTAACAATAACAGGTGAATTTACTGGAATGATTTGTGAAAGACTGAAACAATTAACCGAAATAAATCTTCCACCAGCCAAACTTAGATTTCGAAGGCATCTATCAACCATACATATGATTACAATGACAAGACATATTGTACAGTGTGCCTTGAACATCAACCAAGAACTAATATTAACGTTCATCGATTTTACTAAAGCTTTTGACTCCTAACCGAAGAGGTTGATTCTAGACACACTACCACTCTTCAGTCTTGCCTTTCAAGAAACTCTCAGTTACACAATAGATCAAATAACAACTGGCGTTAAACCAACTGATAACAATAACACAACCTCGACATTATAGTATATTGAGTATGCTGATGACCTGTCTCATTACAACAACGGCTGGTGAAACCATCAAAACGTTTACTTCTCTCTGAAATCACCTGACTAAAATTGGAATGCAACTTTCCTACAACAAAACCAAAGTAAGTGGTGATCAATATACAAAGTAATAATCTCGAAATAACCGATGACAATCACAAATTTGAGGAGGTAACGACGTTTAACTACCTTGGACCAATCATAAGAAGTGATGGGACGCCTGATGACGCAATCGAAACAAACATCGGTAAAGCAAGAACAAAATTATCAGCATACATTTGTGGAGATTGTTGAGTTTTCATTAGGATCACAAACCAATCAATGCACACTTCCTCATCTTAACTTATGGGCTTGAGTCCACAGTCCTAAGAAAATGCGACGGAAGTACATTAGAAGCAGTCTTAAATGCTGCACGATTAATGATTCTAGGCATCAATCTCAAAAAGCAACTTACTACTGTAGTGACCCACTTTTAACAACAGAAAGCGATTGGTGTAATGGAAACAATTACTATTATAACCAATTGTACCAGTGATTTTTTTACTGAGCTTGCTTGTTTAACTGTACTAAAAACACACATTCTTCCGTTGCTTGTGACCTTGCACGAACTTACGTTCGCTCAGTAGTTCCACTTGTACTCCTTTTGCACAATCTCGGTATTCTTTCGATACCACGAGATCTCCAACAAATATATCTTGCTACAATCTTCAATCGCCTTCTGATTTCTGGTTTACTCTGAGGTTTAGCCTGTTCTGGTACGTAATCTTCTTGTAGTGGTGATCATAGTCAACCGTGACTCGACGCCACACTGCACAACACTCCCTAACCTTGCACTGAAAATACTACAAAAGAGTCTAAACCTGTAGAATGCAGTACATGAAAACCTGTAGGGTCAGTGTAATGTCACTGAGTCTAGCCAAATCATTCGGCACTTGAGTCAATGAATATCGAGCAGATCATCGATCTCTTTCAAAGTCAAGGACAACCAACGCGCATCACTTAATCGTATGCTATGGACTGGTCTATGCGATGGTGGTCTCGCTATCTTCTTTTTACTCATTCTTACTAAAATATTTCCGTAATACTGTCCTTTATGTTATATGGTCTCCAAACCAGCCATATTACTTCGATACGTCGAAGGGGTAATCCACGTTGGGTGCTGATCGCGCGGTGTGACTTCGACGTTAGTTGTTGATCACACCATCCCCGTCTAACTCGAGTATGCCCCTAACCATTCAGCATAGATCACCTAGTTAATGATCTACAAACCGAATGACCTAATAGTTACGTTGTTAAACAACCTTATAGAAAGTAATGGCCAAATTAGAAGACCAGCTCACACAAAAAGCTGGCTACGTTTACTAACACACGGTCTAGATTAATTTAATGAAAAACTTCCCCAAGAATGGATAACACATTTGATGAAAATAACATTTAGAAATCTAGATGACGATGACCCTGAAATAATGTGTAAACGTGACCTAATACAAAAATACAGCAACAATTGCTGTCAACGGCTATTTTTCACAACAAAGGAAATGAA